CAAGGGTTGCTTGCAAATAAGAGGGTGTCCAAAGTCTGCTGAGGGAATTGGCAATGTAGTATTTCTCCCTTACCTAGATTGCTACTGGATGCATGAAACCATAGATAGTACTAAACCATATCCGTACTATGCTTTTTCATATATTATATATTTGTAATAAGGTTTGATTTATAAATTACATATACCAGTAATGTAGTTTAATTTACAAATTAGGTACCATAAAAGATTAACACCAGTAATTTATAATAAAATAAAACATTTTCAGACTTTCTTTGGATGGTATCCTTTCCCCTTAATCAACTTCAACTGCTGGAAATATGCCAGCAGTTTCTTCAGCACATGCAATCTCTCCAATTGAGTTTTGTAGTTTTCAGTCCAAAACTATTCCTGAATCTCTGCAACCATCTCTTCCTTGCAGTAAATGGCTTCATGTCACTCATTTCAGGGGCCCCTTGCTGAAGTCTTCCTACAGGCCCATTGTTTTCTGATGCAACACATTGCTGTCAATAGGAACACTTTTTCTGTTCATGTATTCTACACCCAAATTTAATTCACTTCCGGGATAAGTACATATCATATATGATAGCTATAACCTTTGTTGTTTGAAGTATGACAGCAAAACTAGCATAAATTTATTTATCCTTCCTTCATAATTTCATGGGTAGAAGATTCATTTTTACCATAGATCTCAGCAATCTCAGCATACAATTTTGCTCTTCATATTAAGTGAAGGACTTTTATTCACCTTTTCACTTAAAGGAAGCACATTATGGATTCTCTTTGGCATATCTGAATTGCCAGGAATACTATTGTGCTTTGGGACCACTTTTTGGTAAAATAAGGTTTACTTGAGCACAAGCACTGCAGATACCATAACAGACAGATCTGATAACTGAGGCTAGTGAGTGTCTAGTGGGCAGGTAGCTGTATAGCTTGAATACACTGCACAGAGGGATGACTCACTTCCTAGCAGAATGGCACACAATTTAAAGCTCACAAATTGTTTATTTCTGGAATTTTTCATTTAAAATGTTTGGATCATAGTTGGCTATAAATAACTGAAATCAGGGAAAGCGAAACCATAGAGTGGACCACTAGATCTAACAAAATCACAGATGGATTTAGGAACCCAGAAAACAGATACATCTGTGTATATACAAAATGCCAGATGCATTTTTTTCTTTGCCATAATGTTATTTGTAATAACAAAAGACTGGCAGCAATCCAAGTATCTACTGATAGAGGACCGTTTAGATCAATTATGGTATGTGAAATATTATGCAGCTGTAAAAAAAAAAGTAAAAAAGTTCTATGAGGGGGCTTTCTATTCTTAATTTCTTTTTTTTTTTGGGACAAGATCTTACTATTTAGCCTACGGTGGCCTCAATATTGAGATTCTCCTGCATCAACTTCCCAAGTGCTAGGATTTCAGGTGTGTGCCACCATGCTGTATTCATAGAAATCTCCAAAATAAAAAAAAAACCAGTATTGCTGTACTATATGTTATGTGAGATAAAGGCAGGAAATGTATATACACACATAAGCACACAAACTATATTTTATATATATATATAAATACATTAACAATATATTTTTAAAAAGGAACACCTGTAAAGCAAACTAGAACAATGCTTATATATGATGGGGTCAGAGAAAACAAGTATAAGAGTTCTGTAAATATTTTTCTAAAACATGTTATTTATATATATATTTTTTTTGTGGGGGGTCTTTCTGAGACAGGGTCTCGATATGCAGTTCAGGCTAGCTTTGAGCTCACTTTGTAACCTAGGCTGGTCTCAAACTTGCAACGATCCTCCTGCTTCAGCCTCCCGGAGTGCTGGGATTATGGGCAAGCACCACCATGCCTGGCTTTATTTTTATAATTTAAAAGTAACTGTTCTAAATTGAATCTCTTATGTCTTATAAAAGGAAAAAATACTTAAGTCAGAACTTTTCTCATAAAATATGTGTAATATACATATAATACTTGCCCAGAGTAAACATGTTATGTTCTCACACCAACCACATTCCGCAGAAAAATGGCTTAAATACTAAAATACCGCGTTCACTAGAACAAATTAGCTTTTTGCAGGTCAAAATAAGGTCAGAAATATCTTTTTTCCCGTTACAAGAGTGTGTGGGTGGGTGGGGATAGGCGGTGTTATAAAGATTCCAAAAGAGAATACCTTATTGGTTATATTGAAGGCTAAGGAAAAAGAAAGCAAACAGACTTATTTTCACTATATTAACAATCAGAGGCTTCTGATCACAAAAGAACTGATAAAATGACGGCGTTTTACTTCCAGCCCCTTGTGATTCAACTGCTTTAAATGCTTTTTAATCACAGGCTGGACCAGTCAGTCCCCTAAGTTAAACAACAAATGTGAGGAACAGTTAAAAATTGTTAGGAGGCTGCCATGAATGGCTCAGCAATAAGAACAGCATTTTTCTTCCCCATAAAGTGCATCCAAAGATTTTCAAAAGTAAAGGTGAGGTTATGGGTAAGACAAGCAGTGCAAATTCCCTACTGTAGGAGAGTATTTAAATAGGAGATTTTGAAACTTTCTCACAAAATCTAGATCAGACAAGGTTTGGGTTTCTGATGGCTGGACGTTTTTGTTACAGAGGCGATCTGTCCAGAGCGGTTTCCTAACGGAGAACAAAGGCCTCGGAGGGCCTCACAAAATGCCCAGATCCTCCCGAACGACCAGTGGAGCAGCGCTGGACAGACGATAGCGGGGTGCCAGAGACACCACCCGCCACACGGGTGACCCGGGATGACCCGCAGCCCGATCGGGGTGGGACAAACTCCAAAGCCCAGGAAAGAGGCAGAGGGAGCAGGAAGAGGCTGGTGAGGGGCGGGCCGGACAGAGGAACAGGGCCACCGGGCCGAACTCGAAGCGCCCAAGCCCCCTGGGGGGCCTGTAGCCGGGGATGACGCCCTCGCTTCGCCGCCACCCCATCAGACGGACACTTACTGAAAGACGTTTTCCGGGTTATCCATCGCTGAAGGACGAGGGCAGACAGCGGGCCCAACTACGCTGAGAACTAACAGCGCCGCCGATTCGAATTTCCCGCGCAGCCGCAGTGGCGGAACCGAGCGTTGGGAAGGCGTCTGGCCATTGGCCTCAGATGTAGGCGGGCTGACCAATCACAGGGGCCGTTGCCTGGAGATCAAGTCCCACCCCCAGGGCCCCGGCTGCTCCCACTATTTCCGGCAGCCTCTCCTAGAGAAGAGGATTGGCGCGGAGCTGGGAGCCGGCCGCAGCTTTCAGAGACATGTAGGTGGCGGGGCGACTTCGCTGCGAGGGACGCTGACTTGTCTCGGATGTAGGGAAGTTTTGTTTTAACTCTCCCAGTTGTAACTGGGGACTGAGACGTCATCCCGGGGAAGGCATTGCTGAACCAGAGGTTCCTGAGAGGAAAAATTGTCTCAGCATTTGGGTCCTGACTGTCGCGTCTTTTCGTCCCCTTAGTTTAAATGTATGAATCACAGTCGTGATGTCTGATTTATAGAAGGAAGGAAAGGAATCCTGTCTTTAGCGCCGAGACTCGCAGTGAAGGCTGAAGCGCGAGGGAAACGCCTGCCTCTGGTTTACCGAGAGAAGGGGAACCTGGTTCCGGGAGGCCACCTCCCTATTTCTGACAGTTTTCTAGTCAGCGTCCCCGACTGTTAGGAAAGAACCCACATGCCAAAGTCAGTGGAGTCCTAGTTCCGGACCCTAAAATGCTGGCGCAACGAAGGAGTGGTTGGTTCGCGACCCACAGGAAAACCTAAATGGTGCTTTAGTGACTACAGTATGGGGCGCCTTAGAGTTGGTTACCTTAATTATACGTAGCTATGCAGATAATGAATTGGGACCCTTGCAGATTTCTGGACTTGACCTAGCTAATCTGCAAGGCTTCATGGGAAGGTTTCAGGTAACTAAAATAAGAACAGAAGAATTCGAGTAGATTATAGAATGCCAGAGAGAAAGTTTTCAGCATCTTTTATACGGCTAAGCACTCTGGAGACCAACTTCTTAGGAATTATAAAATCGTATGAAGTCCAGAAATATGTAATGTGTTGATATGTGCTAACGAAGAGGACATTGCAAAAGAGTTCATCTAGCCTTCTGTGCCCCTTGATGTTTAATAACTGCCCACTCTACCTCTCACAGTTGTTTCAAGGGTCACTTGACAATGCAAGAGAAACGTAAGGTGCTGTTGTGATTGTCCCCTGTAGAAAGAAGGGCTGTGGATGTTTCAGCTTCCTTAGGCCTCTTTAAATTCAAAAAACAAAACACAACTTTAACAGCTTCTGAAAATTCGGGTGCTCTCAGAGACTAGAATTTCTTCTGGCATGTTGATCTCTTTGGATCTACACAAGTATCCAGTTTGTGGGGTTTGTTACTCCAAGAGTGCTCATTCTGAAGTCTTCAGACAAATGCTAGGTTTTGCCTACCATTACAGGAACTAAGACATTTTTGGATCCACTTGTGTATTTTCAGCTGTGTCTGATGGTGGGTCAATCAGTAATTAGGAAGTATTGAATGAACACCTATCACAAACTAGGTGCTTTTGGTCTTATACCTAATCATTACAACAGAACCTATTCTTAAGAAACTAGCAGTTTTGTCTGAGATGTGAAGCTGTAGAATCAGAAAACTGTTTAAAAGCGGAATATGTACATGTTAAGAGCCAAATGAGATTCTCCTCCGGGAGAAGGAGAGGTAGTGGGACCCATCTTCCTAGTGATAGGAGAGGTCATTCCAGGGATAAATGAGGATTGCAGAAGGGAGATCACTCTTGAGGACTCTTGTTAAGGAGGAGTAAAGTTGTTGCTAGGTTTTTTTTTTTTTGTTTGTTTGTTTGGGTTTTTTTTAGTGGTTTAAAATTGGATGTAAGATCTTGAATTTGTAGGCTAGGCATGGTGGCGCACGCCTGTAATCCCAACACTTGGGAGGCTGAGGCAGGTGGATCTTTGTGAGTTGGAGACCAGTCTGGGCTACAAAATGAGCTCAAGCCCAGCCTGAACTGCATAGCGAGACCCTGTCTCAAAAAGTAAAAAAAAAAAAAAAAAATCTTAAATTTGTGCTTGTTCACATTAGTAACTGATTCTTTTTGGAACAAAGAAGCATGTGGTTGTAAAGACCTCTTGCTCCTTGTCCTTTACTCTGCATTGTTTTCTAAGCCCCACACCCCCACCCCCACCTTCACTTTTGCTACTGGAGGTTCCTCTCCTACCAGGCTTGTTTATGTTAAGGTATTCTGGATGCTCTTTCATATTGCCCTTTAAAAAGGACACTGTGATCTCTCTAAGCCCCAGTGCCAATTGACATAAACATATCTAGGAGTAATAGAAATAAAATATTAGGCTTGTCAGCAGTGATTAGAAATTGGACTTTTTCTAGGAATAATTTCCAGGCTTACTAAGTAAGATTCCTTGCTTACTAAGTAAGATTCCTTAGTTCTTATATAGGGATATCTCTGCCATAGTTTACCTCTGCCATTATTCTTATTCTGAGGGGGAATTAAAATGATTCTGTCCATAATGTATTGATCTTTTTTTTTTTGTTTTTGGTTTTTTTTCCAGTACCGGGAACTGAACTCACGACCTTGCACTTGCCAGGCAGGCACTGTGCCGCTGAGCTAAATCCCCAGCCCCATGTATTGATGTTAATGTCCTTCATAGCTTGATTAACTTGGTGGTGTCCAGGATTTATTGAGAATAGGGGGAGGGATAATCAGTCAGGCAGAGGACAGTAATTTTCCAATTACACTGGCATTGGAGACAGAATGGAAGGTAAGGAGGAGATCAGATTTCATGGAAGAAGAGTTTTAAATACAGTGATGGCTTCAGTATGTAAAAAAAGATTCAAAAGATGGTTTGGGGGCTTTGGAAAATTGACAGAAATAGTTCATTGGAGCTGGAGAAGGCTATACCTTTGGTTTTAAATGTGACTGGTTGGAGTGGTGTAATGGTTAGTCTTGGTTGTCAGCTTGTTTAGGTTGAAAGATACCTAGAAATTTGGTAGGCCACACCCCTGGGTATATCTGTCTGTGGGGGTTCTTGCAGAGAGGGTCAGCAAATGGGAGAAGACCTGTCCTGAATGTGGACAGCATGTCCAATAGGCCAGGGGGTGGGGGAGATGTAACAAAAACATGGTACTGGGAAGCTTACAGGTGCACTTGTGCTCACTTGATACTTTGTGAGTGGTTTTTTTCCTTGTTTGTTTGATTCTTTTTTTTTTTTTTTTTTTTTTGGTATTA